GTCACTGCGCCCAGAGTTCAATTCCTAGTATGGCCAAAAAAGCAACAAACAAACAAAACAACAAAACCATGTTATACACACTTTTACTGTGATATATCTAAGTAAGTACTTATTTATCCTCCTTAGAATTGTTTGACCTGACTTATCTTTATTTTTGTCTTTCAATAGTTCTGGAAAATTCTTAGCCATTATCACATCAATTACTGTATTTTCTCTTCTGATTAGATACATTTTGGTGCTTTTCATACTCTTATGTCTTTTTCCCAGATGACATATCATGAAATGATAAAAGTAGTCAAAATATCCAATAGAGGATTAAGTAATGTTTCAGCCATAAAAAACAGAATAATAGGGCAATAGAAATAACGTAGAAAATAAAAAAATAATGTAGGAAAAAAGTATGTAATGACATGGAAAGATATTAAGTGAAAAAAGTAGGTTACAGAAGAGTGTGCCTGAGTCTTTTTTTTTACAGAAATGCATGAATTTACCAAAGTAAAAAGGCAAATGATATTTAGCAGATAGTATTAATATTAGTTACTCAACATTGTAAGATAGTGGGTAATTTTTTGTATTTTGGGGGAGTGGGATGGATTTTTAAATTTTCTGTAAAATAATTTATTTTGTTTTTGAAGATTAGTTTTATTATTATTATTATTATTTTGGTACCAGGGGTCAAACTCTCAGGACCTTGCGCTTGCGGAGCAGGCGGCAGAAACACTGAGCTAAATCCCTGGCCCTAAAGATTAGTTTTAAAATAAGAATTGAGTGTAAATATGCTTAAATTAAATTGGATTTTACCTCTTTTTATTGTTGAATTATTTTATATATTCTGGATCCAAACTTCTGATCAGATTTGCAAATTATTTTCTTGTTCTCTGTGCTATTTTTTCTTTTCTTGGTGGTGTCCTTTGCAGTACAAAAAATGACTTAAATTTTGATGGAATCCACTTTATCTGTTTTTTCTATCCAGTTTTTGCTTTTGGTGTTTTATCTAAGAAGCCAGTGTCTAGTCCAAGGCCACAAAGATTTGTGCCTCTGCTTTCTTCTAAGAAATTTATACAGGACAAGCATTTCCACAGTCTGAATTTTGGATTAGTGATTCTCAACCTTATCCAGTAAAATCTATGTAAATATTCCAAAATCCAAGAAATTCCAAAATCTGAAACAGTTCTGTTATCTAGCATTTCAAATAAACTACATTTCAAAAATGCAGTTTTTGCTATATAGATTCAATGCAATTCCAATTGAGATCCCAGCAGCATACTTCATGGACCTTGAGAAAACAATCCAAAAATTCATTTGGAACAAGAAGAGACCCAGAATATCAAAAGCAGTTCTAGGTAACAGAGACATGGCAGGGGGTATTACAAACCCTGACTTGAAACTATACTACAGAGCTGCTGTGATAAAAACAGCATGGTACTGGCAAAGAAACAGACCTGAGGACCAGTGGAACAGATTAAAAGATGCAGAAACAACTTCAGACACACTCAGCCACCTCATCTTTGACAAAGGAGCCAACCACCCTCATTGGAGGAAAGATAGCCTCTTTACTAAACGATGCTGGAGAAATTGGGTTTCAACTTGCCAAAGACTAAATCTAGGCCTATATCTCTCACCATGCACTAAACTAAAATCTAAATGGATTAAAGATCTAAATATTAAAACAGAAATGCTGAACCAGCTGGAACAGAGATTAGGTAGAAGTCTTGAAGACATTGGTATAGGAAAAGATTTTATGAAAAAAACTTCAGTTGCCTGTGAACTACCACAAACAATCAACAAGTGGGATATCTTCTTCCTAAAAAGCTTCTGCACAGCAAGAGAAACCACCAGCAGTGTGAAGAGACAACCCACAATGTGGGAAAAAATTTTCACCAGCGGTCCCTCAGACAAAGTTCTACTATCTAGAATCTACAAAGAATTTTAAAAAATCAGACCTCCATAATTTAAAGACCCAATCCAAAAATGTGCATCTGAAATGAACAGACATTTCTCACACAAAGAAGTAGAAATGGCAAATAAACATATGAAAAAATATTCAACATCACTAGTCATTTTAGAGATGCAAATGAAAACACTGAGATTTCACCTCCAGAAAGAATGGCTGCTATCAAGACATCAACCAATAACAAATGCTGTCGGGCTGTGGGGAAAGAGGAACCCTGCTCCACTGCTGTTGGGAGTATAGACTGGTGCAACCACTGTGGAAATCAGTATGGAGATACCTCAAAGAACTAGGACTGGAAGTCCCATTTGACCCAGCTGTTCCCCTGCTGGGTATCTTCCCCAAAGAATTAAAAGAATCATACCACAGTAATATATGTGCACCACTGTTTCATAGGAGCACAGTTTGTAATAGCTAAAACTTGGAAACAGCCCAAATGCCCATCAACTGGAGACTGGATAAAGAAAATGTGTGTGTGTATGTGTGTGTGTGTGTGTGTGTGTGTTTTAATAAAACGGAGTACTACTCAGCCATAAAAATGAGAAATTAGAGACATTTATTGCTAAATGGATGCACATTGAGGCGATATACTTAAGTGAAATAAATAGGACACACATGTAAATACTGAATAGTTTCTCTCTTGTGAGAAACTGAAAGCGTAAATAAGGACTAAAAGGTATAATAGATAATGTGAAATAGGAAGAAAAGGGGCAAAGGGGAAGGGGAAGTGGGAGGGGTTGGGAAAGGAAAGAAGGGTCGGGGAAAGGAAAGAAGGGAATGGAATTAATATGAGAAAATGAAAAAAAGGAAACAGTCTTTGTAAATAGGGAGGGATGGAGGGGTTGAAGGGAGGGGCAGGGGAATTGGGAAAAAATAAGAACCAAGAGAGATTATGTAAAGGTGCAAATTTCCAATGATGAATGTCATTATATTGTATACCTAAAATGTACCAGTAAAAGGATATACAGTTAAAAAAAATGCAGTTTTAAGCTCTTAATTGCTTTTAGATATTTGACCTTTTAAAATTAAGTTTCTACATTGGTGTGAGTTCACGGTCCATTCTCTTAACACCATTTGTTAAAAAGACTACTCTTTCCTCAATTCTTTTGGCACCCCTTTGAAAAATCAATTGATAATGTCTTTATTTCTGGACTCTTAATTCTATTCCATTGTCTGTCTTTAAAATTTTGCAGTGTCTTCCAACTTTTTCAAGATTTTTCTGGCTCTTTGGGTCCTTAGAATTTCCATATGGATTTGAAAATTAATTTTGCCAGTTCCTGCAAAGAAGGCGGCTGAAATTTTGATGAGGATTGCTTTGAATCTATAGATTAAATTGAGAAGTATTGCCATCTTAACATTGTCTTTTTTAATATTGTTTTTCAGTCAATGAAGATTGATTATCTTTCCATTTATTTTGTTATTTTTTATGTCATTTTATGATAGCATTCATTTACTACAGATATTACAAAGCTCTGATGAGCTCAAAAGTTTTGGATATAATCTTTGGCCTCCTTTGTAGTCTTTCCTGATTGAGGTATGACATTTTGTTTTATAATTCTTGGCTCATTGGCAATTTTATATCTTGTTCTCTGAGCCTTTTTGTGAACCATTGTGTCTTTGTGATCATTTATGTTCATCATAAAACTGTATAACATAATGACTTCACCCTAAGAGAATCTGCAGACATTCTAAGTCAGAAATAATCTGTTGTGGACTTGTCACCATCCTTCTTCAGCACAGCCCTGTTGGCTCCTGGCTCCTATTGGCCACTTGGTGGGATCTCTTCCATGTCTTTTAATATTTCTAGTATTTTCCATCACTATTTCTCTGCTCTATATTTTAGATTTTCAAAAATCTACATTCCCATTTGAGGTGTGTTTAATCATCCACTAAGCTTGAAATTTCAAGTTTATTTTTCATTTTGAAAAATCTATTTTGTTCTTTTTATTCCTTAAACATTCTTATTTTATTTCCTATAAAGACAATCTTATATCTTTAATTTTTCTAATTTGAGTCACTTGGTTTTCGTTTTTGCTGTTTCTCATTTATGTTGCTTTGTTTCCTGGTCTGTTTTATGATTTAATTATGAGCTTATCCTTTTTTCTTGAAACTGTATCTGTTGGAATTCTTTAAGGCTTTGTTTGATATTATAATCTTCCAGGGAGGAATTGAATTTGCATCTGCCCATAGTCTGAGGACACAATATGGGTTTGCTTTAAAATAAATACACTTCTTGTTATTGAGACCACACAGATAATGTGAATTTAGGTTGCAAATCTTGTAAGGGAGGGGTTATAAATTCTTGGGAGACATCTTTTTCCCATCTGAACAGCATCAAGTAGAGACACATTCATTCCTCACTGTTCCCTTCTGTTGTTTCTGTCTTGACTACCAAGGATGTAGCCTTAAGAGTTCTTACTTTTAGATGTTATACTGTTAAACCTGTGTTACACTGTTTATACCTGTGTGGCTGCCAATGTAGAACTCAGGGTTTCAAACATTTGTCAAGAACCCATGCATTTTTCATGTATCCCCAAGGTTCTAGTTTCATTTATTTCTTTGCCTATGTAGATTTGTACCAGCTTGGCAATAAGCTTAAAATATATTTTAGTTTTAATATTTTACTTAGTATCTGAGTACTCTCTGTTGTAGGGTCTACTTAGAGAATCTAGAGTCTTACACTGTTAGAATTGGATTTATAGAATCATGTAATTAACATAGTTGTCAGTACTGTATGTTTATAGTTTTGTTCTTTTTTTCTTAATATTTTTATGTGTAAATTTCCTTCTACTTATTTTGCCCATAGTTAACTTTTTTTTTTGGTACTGGTAATCTGACTCTGGACCTTGCACTTGCGAGGCAGGCGGCAGAACCACTGAGCTAAATTCTCAGACTGCCCATGCTTTACTTTTAAGGGCTTTGTCATATTTTGTGGTTGTACCATAATTTCCACGATCATTTCTGTATTTGCTTATTTTCCAACTTAATGATTTAAATAATGCTAATAGATAGCTGTATCTGTTAAAGCTTGTTTTTTTTCTTCTGTTAGGTCAAATTGACATAAAACTGTTGATAGCAAAGAAGAAACAGTTGGCAGCAGAGGCAGAGGTAAGTAACTTCCTCTTTCAGAAACGTAGATGTAGAGTTTTAGGTAAAGAGCTTTGTTTAGTAACTTTAAAAAATGTTAATGTTAAATTGCTTTAAAAAGTATTTACCTTTCTCATCAGTTGACATTTTCTTGCTAGGGAACAAGAAAATAAGATCTTTGCCAGTTTCTCATCCTGCATAAGAACACACTTTGCTCTTATCTCTCCTCTCATCCTTCATTGTCATTTGCTGGCTTTTACTGGCAAATCTTGATCTTAGTGAACTGTGTTAATGGCTGATATAGTTGTATGTATTAATGCTTTATAAAGATTTTATCATGATTCGTAGTAGATAGGCCTCCAGTAAAAGCCAACTCTGACTCTAGAAGTAGATTTTCTGTTAGGGAAGTAGAAATTATTTAAAAAAAAACAAACCAATATGGAGTCATTTCAAATGGACTCTAACTTGTACATGTAATTGATCATACCTTTAGGAAATTGTAGGAAAAAGAATACTTTTGGGGAGGGTATTGAACCCAGGGCCTTCACACTGAGCTACATTCCCAGCACACTGAACTATATTCTCGCCCTTTTTATTATGAGACAAGGTCTTCTAAGTTGCTAAATTGCTCAGCCTGGGCTTGAAGTTGTGATGCTCCTGACTCAGCTAGGATTATAGGTATGTGCCACCATACTCGGCAAAGGATACTTTAAAAAAAAATTATAATCTAATACTTAGGTTTGCCTGAATGTACATTGACTTCAAGTCCAAGGCAGCTCCCCTTTTTTTCCAGTGAGATCACTTCCAAAATTAATCAACCTGAATATATAAATATCCAGTGATACAGATGGAATAGACATGTTTTAGTTATAAATTTAATTATATGTATTTGTGCATGCACATATGCTTTTACTTCAGGTTATTTAAATTTAGGATGTTTAAAAACATAAAAATGAATGTAAGATTATTTTCACTTTGATATCAGTGTCTTTGTTATTATCAGAGCTAGTTTTTCAGTTATCTTCCAAGGTCAAGGGCATATCATTTTCCCTTTGATGTGATTGTTTGAAATATGGCACTTTTTGAGTCCAGAAGTTATGTCACTAGAAGTATTATAAGAACCTATTTGCTCAACATTAAGAGATTACTCTTGCCTTCATCCTGTTCATGTACTTGTGATGTCTACAAAACAACCACATATTGTATTGCTTTATAAAATGTATTTAGAAGGTGTATTTGCTGTACTTGAAACTGAGTCTAGACTCCTACTCTCCATTTCTGGAGAATGTCTTCTCTGACGAGTACTTTGTTGTTCAGTTATGAGAGACTGTTTAAACTTGATTGTTAGGAAAGGAAAGAGAGAACAAGGAAAAAAAAGGAAAATTTAAGGAAAAAATGGAAACAAAGCTTTTGTACATAAGGAGGGGATGGGAAAAAATAAGCAAGATATATCATGTACTGGTACAAATTCCCTGTGATGAATGTTATTATGTATATCTAAAATGTACCAGTAAATGTTTTGCTAAAAAAAATAAACTTGATTGTTAGGTAATCACTTTCCATCCCCTAGTACTGGTGATCGAACCCAGGGCCTTGGCACTAAGTTACATCCCCAGACCTATTTTATTTTTTATTTTGAGACAGGGTCTCCCTGAGTTGCCCAGACTTGGCTTGAACTTGCAGTCCTCCTGCCTCAGCTTCCCAGAGTTCTGGGATTACAGACATGTGTCACCACAAGTGGCTATTATTAGGCAGTTTCTGTTTTCCTGAGTGATTAACTTATAATTTTAGCCAAGAAACAAATAGTTAACATATTGGTACATGAGTTATTTTCGAGGGGTGGTGTAACAATTTTTTTTTTTTTGGTGCTGGGGATCACACTCAGGACCTTACACTTGCAAAGCAGGTGGCAGAACCACTGAGCTAAATCCCTGGCCCAACAATTTTTTTTTAGTATATGTGCTGCTGAAGTGAGCTCTCAGTCTTACAAATTTAATGATTGAAATAAATAATTCTCATTTTTATGGTTTACTAGTGTTTTTTGACCAATTATTCCTCATTCAGGCAGGACATCTAGATTTGTTTCTAATTCTTTATCTATTCCTTTTTGCTCCTTCCCAGCAAGAACACAAAGTCCTACTATGTTCTATTTGTAAAGTTAAGTTTCAAATCAGTGAAGAGTCTGTCTGTCTTGTCTATCATTGCTATATATTTTTAAAATCTAAGGTCAGGGTTTGTCCTGTGTGGGTGCTGGTTTATAGGCTCGGCTGCTGTGGGTGGGAGTTAGCTAGGTATGGAGCCCAGGTGCTTGTGGCAATGAGAGAGCCATTTGTTAAAATTAATCATAGTGCTTATTTGGTCAGTGATTTCATCTGTGGAGGTGTATTGGGTGCCATGTGAGGATTCTTGTTTTTCTAATTAATGTCATAAAAACTTGGAAACAGTCTTAGGTTGGTGGGAAAATTCAGTCGTTGTCCAAGATTTAAAAAAAAAAAATGGTGGCTAGAATGGGACAGGAAATTGATATTTTCAGAGTTGCCCATCTGAGTTACTGTCAGTTAGTGCAACTTGAGTTATTGTTAACAGTTATACTTAAAAAACCAGTTAAATGTCAGCAGTCAGTAATATAGCCTCAGAAAAATGCAGTTTGGCTTTGTTTCTAATTGTCAAATACAAGTTGATGTCGTAAGTCCAGGTCATAGTGAATTATTGGCAAAGATATTTTCCGTAAGCATCAACCAAAACTCTGTAAGGAGTTTTAGTAGGGAAAAATACCTGAAGTGAGAGGAACATTTTTCCATAAAGAATCACAAACACAAAGAGAAAAGGGATTATGGAGTGGGAAGTAGAATGGGGGAGGAGGAGGAGGAGATGGTGAGAAAAGGAGAAAAAGGAAAACGTTTCAAGGGATTAAATTAAAACTTTTTAATTAACAATAATTGCACCTCAGATGAACCTCATTGGCTACAATACTGCCATTGCGCAAAGTTTAAATTAAAACTTTTTAAAAAGGAGAATTTTTGAGCTGGCTGTGGTGGCACAAGGCTGTCTGTAATCCCAACATTTTGGGAGGCAAAGGCAAGAAGATTGCCAGTTTGTCACATCTTCATTGATTGTTCTTCCCCTGATCTTTAAGGTAAGAATAGTGGATAGCTGTCTTCAAGGTCCCCTTGAGCACCAATAGTTTATGACACAATCGTGTATTGATTACATGTAATCAATGTAATTAAAACGTATGCTCAGAATTCATTGTTCTGTAATTTTTGGGTTTTTTTCTTCATTGTTCTGTATAGTCAAGGGAATGGGTAGTCTGTCAGTCTTACTGGGCATCTCTATTTCTACAGACTAGAGTTGTTAGGTAAAATGCATTATAGTAGTTGAATTTGAATTTTAGGTACAGTGAATATTTTTTAATTAAATTTGAGACATTTAAAAATTTAGATTTAAAAAGTTATTTGTTATTTATCTGAAATTCAGATTTAATTGAGTGTCCCGTATTTTTATTTGTTGTCGAGCAACATACAAAGAATTCTGTATGAAAAATTATACAGGTCATGCCGGATGTGCAGTCCTTGAGGTGCCTATTAACTGCTGCAGGTGTCTGCAGGCTTCTGTTCACAGAGGAGGCTCATTTCTTCACATCATGTGTCACTTGTTATTGTGAGCTCCTTGTCAGTAGGTTTTGTTTTTTCTGGATGACTCCTATGTCCCTGGAGTTGCTACATTGTCTCTACAGAGTTATTTTGCATTAGACGAAAAATCTGCTGAGATCCCAGAGATTTCAATGATTTTAAACCAAGTATTATGTTAGTTTTTCTCCTTGGACTCTTAGGGCTCACAGGTAGTATGAATCTGTACTCTGGGGCTGAGAGTATAGCTTAGTGGTAGAGCACTTGCCTAGTGTGTGTGAGGCCCTGGGCTTTTTTCCAGTACTGAAAAAAAAAATACGGACACTTAACCCATTCCATGCACAATGACTCCATTTGTATTTCTGGCAGATGTTTTTTTCTTCCCCCTGCATCCAAGACTGAAGACAGACAGTTTGCGTCTTCAGCTTGTAGGCAGCACTTTTGAATCTCCTTTTAAGGATTGTGCCTCTCTTTGATGCTCTTACTTTTCTACAGAGCTCATATCAACATTCCCACCTCCTCCAAGGAAGCCTCAGGCCACCCACATGGGTGTCATACCATCAACAGGTGTCCTGGAGCCTCAATGTGGCACCTCTAAAATCTCCGTGGGGTCCAGGCTTTCAGCTGACATTTACTCCTCTGGCTGCAGATTCTCTGTTCATTTTGGCCACTTGAGGATTTCTCTCTTTTTTTATAGTTTACTGAGTATTTCCTTGACCTTGTAATGGGAAAGCCATCTGCCATTTTGCTCGATGTCCTGCATTGGTTTTGCTGTGTGGCTAGGAACCTTTCCAAGTTGCTTGACTTTTGTAAGTCTAGGTCTTCCATTTTAAAATAGGAATTATAATGCTTACTTCAAACATTGTTTTAAGACTAGAAATAATACATTACAGTTCCTAAGAGATTCAGCATACAGCAGTCATACAATAAATAACAGCTGATATTAACAATACCAATTGATTTTTAAGTCCCCTTCCCTTAATTAAAGCTTCTAGAAGAAATCAAGACTTAAGGGCTGGGGATTTAGCTCAGTGGTGCCACCGCCTTCTTCACAAGCACAGGGTCCTGAGTTTGATCCCCAGTACAAAAAAAAGAAATCAAGACTAGGTACTTTTAAAAATAACTGCCTTCTATGTACATTATACTAAAGATTGAATTAACCAGCAGTAGTATGAATAGGAGTTTTGGTTCCAGGCTGGTTTTAAAAGCTGTTTGGAGATTACAAAGTCATTTGTCAGTTACTTTACTGAATGCTGGATATATGATTAACAAAAAGATGTGATTTTTAAAGTTATTAGGAGAGGTAGAACTATGAAGACTTACAAATTATATTAAGTGCAACAAAGGAAAAGAGCACTATGCAATAAGAGAAGAGTATTGTCAGGGGTGACT